TAGTCCAATTCAATTGGGATGCCAAAGTCAGACCACCATGCTTGAGCTCTTAGACTATGTAAGTATTTTGTGTAAAGCAAAATAGAAAAAATGTACATAACAATTATAGGGTTCAATCCAAAGTCAGTTTCAATATAGTGAGGACAGTGCTATTGTTAATCTTTACGAAAAGTCTTACCATAAATCAATTTTCTACCCTAAAACCATAAAACATCTGATGTCTGGCCAAAATGACCTCACTTCACAAAAATGTTATCTAAAATTGGTTTACACAAGCATAGCAAAACTCTCATACGCTCAAGTAACAGCACACACACACACACACACACACACACACACACACACACACACACACACACACACACTGGCACTTCAAACACATGCTACAGATGAACAAACAACATAATGAGAGAAGATCACAGAATCTAGTAAAAGGTTTTTGTGAAATGGTTATGGCAGGAGAGATAAGTTTCTGTTTCCTCTCTCAGGGAGGACCAGTGTGTTCCCCCTGTCCTGCCTTCCAATCTCAATCCCCACTCTGCTCTCCATACCAGTGTCATCTGTAAGCAATTTACTTTAACACCTGAACACACACACACACACACACACACATATTGGTGCACATCTGGTGTAGTTAGAAGCTAAATACAATTCTGTATTTCCTGCCTAATGGAGATAGCAGCCCCAAGTCACAGTATTAGGGTAAACCTAAGAGCACTGATTTGAAAGTATTGTTACATACAATATATTTCTGCTTTGTCCATTATGTCTATCTCTTAAAAAAAGTTAATATACGGGTACTTTATTTCATATTTCTTCTTAAAGTTCACAAATCAGATATATAACAACTATAATTTATAACAACTTTTTTAATTACTTATAGTTTATTGCAACACATTCTAGTTTTATTTATCATCTGTTCCAAAATATTCCAATTTCCAGAAGTGTATGTGGACTAAACTTCATTTTCACAAAACCACTTTCTCCAAATCCACAAACTGTTTTGTCATTATTGTCCCACCACCTGCAAAACACTCTTATTATTACATTACTATATCTGCAGTACATTTTTCAAATGCCAACACATTGTGTCCAAAACTGTTAAAAACACATTGCTGCATTTTTGCAGTAATAAGACAGAAATACATAGAACAGCAGAATAGCAGAATGTTTACAAACATTTTAAATTTATGTCTATGTGTGCGTAGAGAAATGTGTATAGTGCTTTGAATGTAGTTTACTGTAAAACTGCAAGCTGAGTGTAAAGCAGGAAATGCAATTATTTTAGCAGAAATGGTTCAAGGTGCATCAATTACAGGCTGTGTCTCAGGTACTTGTTTTACTGTGTAAACAACTGAGAAAAAGTGTGTTGCAGCACTGAAATTTCAGGAACTTTTTTCACAATTAATGAATGCAGTGAAATGGAAAAAATCATATTGAAGCAAATTCCTGTATTTCTGATTCGTTCTTGTTATATATAGTACAATCAATAAAATGAAAATATGTTATTCTTGCAGTTTTTCTGAGTCGCGTTGGTACATTTCTAGACTGATCCTTAACATTTGCAAAACTATTTGTACTGCTAAGGTTTGGATGATAATGACTGAAAATGCACAAGGCTGCACTTTTTCTGTCTGGCATAGATCAGTTTCAACAGTACAGAGTTATACATTAAAAGGGTTGGACAGGATTCATAGTTAGACTTTTACTGTATGCACTGTAATTTATTGTGATGCAACCCCCCCCCCCCAGACTATTTCATATAACAGTATAATACATAGTGATTAACATGACATAAGCAATAGATAATGTAGGAAACAGCAGACAATTGTACTAATAATCATTTGCATAAATGTGTCAAACCATTTGCAATTTGCTATTTCTTAAAAGACTGAGAAATTGCTGTGTGCACAAGTAACTAGATGATGTGAAGGCTGAACAAGCAGAATTTCAATTCTGATCTGAGAAATGTACCAAAGTGACTGAGAACAACAGTATTCTGTATGAAATACTGATTTATATGAAAAAATCTGTCATATTTTGAAGATAAAAGTTCATTATATTTACGTAATGCTTCCTATTGTTAATGTTTTGTAGGTCAGTGTGTTATGAGTGACAATTTTTACTTTCTGAGTGAGAAATGTTGCCAGTGTTTTGGTTGAACAAGTTTATTTTGAGACTTGTATGAAGTGTTTTGGGGGGTTTGAGTGACTTTTGGAGGTGAGATTAACTGTTCAGCCAAGATGCATGTTGTGAAACTGTAGTACACTTTGCAGGAAAGGTGGAATTAATAACAATCCAATTAATATTAATATTTTAAACAGCTCGCTCACGACTGGTTGTGTCTCGGATTACTTTGAAACCAATAAGTCCGAAAAAAATACTGGCCTTGATACCCCCATCCTAGACAATTATCTCTCAATCTCTAAACTGCCTTTTTATTTCAAAGATTCTTGAAAAATGTGTTTCTAAGCAGCTCCTACTGCTATGGAGAATAATGGCATCTTCGAGTCTGGCTTCTGTCAGCATCACAGTACTGAGACAGCCCTTCTGAAAGTCAGTAATTACCTTTTAATCAACACTGACACTGACATGTTCTCAATTCTGCTGCTGCTGGACTTGAGTGCTGCCTTTAATACAATTGACCATGGCATTTTGCTAGACTGAGGTGCTGGGTGGACATATCTGGTACTGTATTGAACTAGTTTAGACATTTTGTTTGTTAAATAGGAAGTTTTGTGTCTCTATTAACAATTTTAAGTCATTCTCTTACAATTAAGGTGTGCCTCATATCAATTCTTGGACCAATTTTGTTTTCCATGTGTATATCCCTCCCTGATCTGTAGACATTGTATTTGTTTCTTTTGTTATGCAAATGACACAATTAATTGTACTTCCCTGTGAAGCCAACTCTCCTAAGTATGCTGACGGTGGCAGAGCTAGCCTCTCAGCACGGTGGGGGCGGAGTTTCGTCACGGGGCCCGCCTGCTACCAAGTCTTTTATACCAAGTTTACATGACCCCGGACTCACTCCCAAAGTCCACTGAGTCCGTCTGCGTTCCGGTTGCTGTAGCATATCGCGCTCATTCTAGTCAATGCTTGTGCTCATACCAGAAGTATCTCTTAGCTCTGCTCCGGAGAGAATACGCAGCCAGCGTGTTTTTGACAGAAGACACGTCAAGCAGCATAGAGCAGATGAACTGGGCAAGAAGACAGACACAGAAATGGCATAAAGAATCTGGTCAATTTTCAAAAGAAAATACCCTGTGCAGACTAGATCATATATCAACAATAAACGAAATAAAAAGAAATAATTTAAGTAGTGCTAGTGAGAGAGACCCCCCCGGGATCTCTCTCGGTGCTCCGGTGACTAGTTGCCTTTCTTCCAACTCTCATTTGACTGACACCAGCTTTGTTTTTTAGAACGATTAGCGATGGGGCGCGTGGATTGCTCACTGTACACACATTGTACAGCACATTGTGCTCGTAAATTGGCTTGCACATATTGATTTTTGGGCGCCAGGGTGATACATAGTAGCCTACGTCCGTCCCTGAAGAATTCCCATGATGCATTACGGTGAAGAGAGTTTTGTTAAAATTTGCTGATAAGTTTCACATTTCTTTGAAATACAACTGTTACTTTATGTTTTTTTTTTTTTTTTTAAATGTGCTGCTTAGAATATAGTGTTTTTTGTTGGTAATTGCCATTCTTGTGGTGTAGCTGATTTATTTATTCTTGTTGGACCACGCTGTGTCTACAGTAAAATGACAAAGCCTAAACTTGGTGGCCCACGCAGGGAGTCCCCAACCAAGCTGGGTCCCTGGGTCGGCCACGCCCATGCACCCACGCTACCTCTGCTTATGTATGCTGAGTTCCCTATTATTATTATTATTATGAACTCTGAGAGTCAGTGAAAAAACACTGATATCTCATAATCTTCACCTGTGGTGTCAGCCTATAGTTTATGTTATATCTTGCTTAGCTCCATTTGGATGTTTTTCAGTATGGTTTATGTCTTCATTAGTTGCTCTAAAGATACCTTTCTCTAATGTTAGATGTTACTTACCAGTCTCAAAGAAACGGTGTGAGTTCAGCATAAAACCGCATCTCTTTACTCACCAAGAGCTGTCTCCATCAGTGGAAAACCACGCCAATATTTACTCCTTTATTGCTTCTTTTAAAATCGCTTCTTTTCTTTGCCATGAACGTGGTTTGTTGCTGGGAGTGGGTAGTTGGGATGGTGATAAAGGTTGCTTGCCGAGAGCTTCAGCCATCTGTGTTTCTGTAACACTAACCGGGGGCTGTACCTCCAACGTGACAGGAAGTCAGAGCTGTTACTTCTTCAGATTTTGTTGATAATGTTAGTACATTTTTAAAATCCTGGCCATATTTTACACATTACACCTTTAAGTGGATTAAGGTCATACAAAA